AAACTTGCTTGTTCTCTTGTTTTTAGCTTGTTTTTGTGAATAAGAGAGTTGAGGTTATACTTGAGGATTTTATCACTAAATTCCCTTGATTTTGTAGGAAATTGGGATAAATTGGAAGAAGAGTTAAAATATCAAGAAGTTGGAACCTAGAAAGGATAGAAAGAGCACCAGAATAGAAGGCTGCAAAAGGTCGCAGGATGCTTGAGCGCCCTTTTCTGGGGCCCTCAGCGCAGGAGGTCTCACACCCACGCTTGTGCTTCAGTCTTCAAGTACCGTTTCACGGTTGGGTGCCCTTCCTAGGGCGTTGAGCGTCACTTCTCTCGTAAGCTCGCCTGGGCGCCCTAAGTAAGGGCGTTGAGCGCTTGCGATGTTGGCCCATGATCCAATTCAGTTGTATATACGGACTTGCATGTCCTAGAGGGGGTATCTTTTGACATAAGGGAGGCAAATTCAGACTCTTTCAGCTCTCTGGAGGCAGAATTGGATGCAAAAGCTCTCCTTTTCGGTTTTTAGGGTTTATCTTCCATTCTCCTTCCATTGTACATCTAGTTTCTCCATGACAAGGGGGAACTAAATTCATTTGTTGTTGGGGAAGATGTAACCTCTAAACTCTCATGTATTTGAGTTGATTCCGATTTATATATGCTTCTTTAATTAATTGTTAGGGTTATTCTTCTTTGCTCTATGCTTGTTATGTTTAACTCATTCATGACATGATTTTTGGTTTTCTTTGTTATTGACAAATACCTAGAAACCTAGAACTGGGGAATTTCTCCCAAGGGAACTATTGCCTAGACATAGGGATAGAACGCTTGGTTGTCTTAAGCTTTCGTTCGTAATGCAAAATTAATTATTAGGGATGCAAGACATTGTGGTATAGTAATTAAGGATAGGCTTCTTTCACCAAGACATCGGGTTCTAAGTAATTTAGAAAGTGACATTGACAATTAATAAAGAAGAAGAATTCTTATATGCATGAGAGTGATTAGGTGAAATCTAAACCCCAACAACATCTTCATCTCATAATACCAACATCATCACTCACTTTTGCGTTTCTTTTCAATTGATCAAAAACTGCATTCATATTTACTTTATTGTTTTACATTTAAAAACCCTAAATTGTTCTTCAAAGTCTTAATTAGCTAAGTAATTACATGACTGTTTAGTGCTGTGAGTCTCTTGGGAAACGATACTTGGTCTTACCATTTATTATTACTTGATACGATTCGGTACACTTACCGAGGTCTTAACAAACAATTATACCATTGTGAAATAAGAAAATTAGATAGGTTTTCATACCATTGTTTGCTAGCTTGTCGAAAACCACCCAAAAATTTATGTAATTTACATACCTGTCCAATAAAAGCTCTATGCATACAAGGAGGAATGGGCATGTAAACTTCTTCACCGTATAAAAAAGCATCACTGCAATCTTGTTTAAGTAGTCAATTATTAGGAACTAGATCTCCTCACGTGATTTGGTCTTAATCAACATGGCTAGAAAAGAGTTGATTTTGCTACTAAAATTATGCCTAGATAATGGTAAGAATTAGCATTATCAAATTCCCCCAAAGTTATAACTTTGCTTGTCCTCAAGCGAAAGTACTTCACCTAGAAAACATTTCAATTGCAATGGTCTAGCAACTCAAGCACAATTTCAATCAACATAACAAATTCAATCATGCTTGCTCAACTTGGAAATTACATTCAAGAAAAATAATATGGTATTAGCAAGCTAAACTTCAACCATGGTGCTCACAATTCAAAATGCACAAGATATATGTAAATAATAGATCAACAAACATGGCAACACTAGTGCAGAATTGGCCTTTAACGTCACCCCGTAGACGTCGGTCCACCAAATAATCAACGTAAATTATTGACCAGTGGTATTTTCGTAAATAAGTGGACATATAGATGTCTGTTAGGAGGGGCTCCAACGTTTATAATATTATACACATCGGGGCCCCTCCTTGCAGACATCTATATGGCTGACAGGGTAGGTGAGAAGTTATTTTTTCCGCCATATAGACGTCTGTTAGGAGGGGCCCCGACGTCTATAATATTTATAGACGTCGGGGCCCCTCCTAACAGACGTCTATATAGCTGACACAGGGTAGGTGAAACGTTCACCTAGATGTCGGGGCCCCTCTAAATCGACGCCTATAAGCCTCGCGAATATGAATTTTTAAATCAGAAAGACGTCATATTAGTTAGGGCCCCGACGTCTATACTATTATAGACGTCGGACCCCCTCAGCACCCGACTTCTACAGCCAGTTATACTGCAAAACGCAAACCCGTGAGGAGTTACGCTCACTGTTCATCGTCTTCCTCGCGTTTTCTCTCTGAGACATTGCATTTCCAGGTGCGTTTCCTCTCTTTTGGACCGTTTAAATTTACTTTTACTCCGATTAAATTACTCTTTGATGAAATATCTTCCATTTGAACCGATTAAAATTCGTTTTCGTTACGTTTTGGTGCAGTTTGTGGCATGTGCTTGGGCGGCGTTTTTGACTCTTTTTGGCTTATGTTTTTGGGCGTGCATTACTCCATTTCCCTGCATTGCTTTTTTAATCTGCTAAAAAGGTTAGCTTCTTTGTTGATAACTTTTTTGTATGCATGTTACTTTATGAAAGCTAATTACAAGATTACCTAGGTTGCAGAGAGCACCATTAGAACTATACTGGGATTTGAGAGTATTTGGTCTCCCCTCCCATGTGCCAGTATATGTCACATTGACTGATGCATTGGGGGTAATTGGGGGAGACAGGATGTTGAATATTTCCATCATTCAACTATGGTGCATGTAAGATACTTAATTTTGTCTTCCATATTAGTTTTATTTAGATTCCTAGTTTCTAACAACTTAACTTTGTTGTTTTAGGTACATGGACACAATCGTTGTAGACCAAGGTCGGTCTTCCATGTACGGACTTGTTGAACCTCAGACCATTCAACCTTCTGGTAACACACTTGAAAGCAAACAACATTATTTGCAAACATGGATGGATGAGTCAAAAAGAGATGTATACCTTGTGCTATACATTGATGGGTAGATGTTGTTATATGTAAAAGTTCATTAAAGTTTACTTAATTAGTTAATTAACTATTTGTGATTCGTGATAGGTCGCACTGGCAGCTGATGGTCATCATTCCCAAACAATGTAAAATTATATGGTTTTGTTCGATGCACAAGAAAATGAAAAATGACTTGAGAACCATGCTTCAAGGATAAGTGTTTCTCCAAAAATGACTTTGAATTTGATGTTCACCTTAAACATTTATGATAAATATAATTATATTAATTTTACTTTGTGTTTTCAATCTAAATAGAGTTATTGGTAAATCACGAAGTCAACTAGTTCAAATTTTGTATCCAAAGGTTGTAAGTCATTTATACTTCTAATTCATTTTCTGTGTTACTGAATGATCTAAATTCTTGACTATTTAGTTTGTCATTTTAGTGTAAGAAACAGCTAGATTCATATGAATGTGGCTTCTATGTATGTGTTGGATTAAGACCATCATTCGAGTTGTCATTCCAGATGACTGGAATGAGGTAATGATGCATACCTTGAATACATTACAAATCAAATTCATCTTTAAACATATATGAAACCATAATGAATCTTTCTTCAATTTTGCAGCGCTTCAAGAGTACATCTCCTATACCAAAGGACACAATTAGGCAGATAAGGCAGGAGTGGACAACTTATCTTCTGCAAAGATGGAGCTAGAAACACTTATATTTCTTGTTGAACATTACTTTGGTTTAGTTTAAGTTTATATTTTGATAGTTTTGGTATTGGATTGTTTTTTACATTAAGTAGAACTTTTCTTTATATGAAATTATATATATATAACGATTTGTTATCATATAATGCTTGACAAGTTAACCCATAAGAAAAGATTGTTAATAGTAGTTGACTTACCTACGGATAAAAAGTCATAGGAAAGTCTAATCTTCTAATTAAGTATATCGTAGCTATTAGACTAGCTTTGCATCTATTTTTACTTCCATCAGCTGTGTTTACTTTTATATATCCATTTGGATCCTATGATATATTTATCATGTGGCAAATATTATTATTTTCAAGAGCCAGGATTTCTTCATTCATAGCTTTTCTCCAATTAGGATATTTGCATGTCTCTTTGTAAGTTTTGATTCACTATCATTTTAAATAGTGATTCATCCATGCTCCCACCAACAAACTCCAAGCAGATTTTTAGTACTAAGGAATGGTAATTGTTATCATCAAAGACATGAGAAACAAGACATTTGGCTGAATTTTCACTGGGATGCATATACAAACTACCGTGCATAGAAGTTGTTTGTTGTAATTCTTCTGCCACAGGAGCGAAAGAAAACAGCCAGAATGAAACAAAAGAAAAGAGACAATGAGAGAACAACAAGATAGCCAAGGCGCAGCAGAGATCTTATTCAAGTGTGACGGCGACCATCTTGAAGCTTGACAACACGCCTTAGATCCATGAAGGAAAAAGAGCAGAGAGAAAAAAGAAGATAAAGGCACACGAGAAGAAAAAGGAGGAAAAACTATTACTGATCAGTTGAATGCTGGATCTTGAATCCAAAAATAGGTTATATTGAATGTGAAACAGCATTCAAAATCTTACTTTCCATCATAACCATGCTACTAATGCCCTGCCCAAAGGAACACCATAATGCTCACATTAACCACATTACTTTCCATAAACATTCCATCCCTTGGAAACTCCACAGCCGTAGCTAGAATATTCACATATATAGGGACAGTGCACTTAAACTATAAAGGTGCTATCGACCCCTCCTCTCTGCCTTAACCAGCATAGCAGCATACATTAAAGATAATTCTGGCAGGTTTAGTTTATCACATACCCTAAACAAGTGTTTGACTGCCAAAATTTACATGATCACCTCTACACAATACGCAATAAAATTGGCTAGACGAACAATTAAATAAAACAAAAGGAGTGACAAATTATTGACTTTTCACGGTGTAATCTGAATAAGCAATAGACAAGAAACAGAACAAAACCAGCGATGAAATTGTGTGGAGAAGAGAGATTCTGGAAATTATATGCAAATACAGTGCGCACAAAGTGGTGCATCCCTTTCATTTTGCACTTTCAAAGATCAGAGACTACACTGAAATTGCCTCTGCACTGGCTCCAAGAAACTGCCATTAGTATCCGCTAATCATGTACAAGCTCTTATATATTCTAACAAAAACAATTTCTTGCAGGTGCATATCATTCTTTCAGGGAGGGTTCTACAGCTGGTTCAAGCACAACAGGCTCCAATTTCTCTGCTTCACCATTACCTTTGGGTATAATGAGTCCATATCCACCTTCTTTTCTTTTATACACAATATTAATTTCCCCTGAAGCAAACGAAAAACATTTTTAATTTCCCAGGATATAAAAAAAGATAAAGTAATCGTAATTAGGGAAGAGGTCCAAGAAAACGGCAGGAGAAGCACATCCAAACAAAATATAGATAAATATCCACTAATTTCTCACCAGTTTCTTCGTTTCGAAAACCATAGAAGTCATGATCAACATTTACAAGTTGCTCTATTGCTTCAGACACAGTCAAGGGTGGCATGTCAAAGTACTTTGTGCGAACAACCTGTTAAGACAGCTCACAATTTGGGTAGGAGCAATGTAAGGAAAGAGAGAAAAATCCCGTCTCATGCTAAGAAATAATGCATCTACTAGACCACTAACAACAGATAGCAAAGGAATTTAAGTGAAAGGTTTGAATTACTCATTGCAAAACATCATCAGAACAACCCTTCCAAACCAGACAAACCAATTTTAATATTATGTCTACGTAGAACTACTTTCACTTCTATTTCTAGAATATATCACAATCTAGCATTAAGTATTTTTGGGGGAAGGAAAGAGATGTACTGGTGAATATCTCAAACTTATTTTCTAGAAACAGTAATAAACGTGTACGAACCCAATTTAAGATATGCATAATCAGAAAGCAAAGCAAAAGCAGAACAGAGCAAACGAAGGAAGTAGGCATGACATGAAGCTGAATTTAAGTGTAGATATATGAAACTAAACAATAAGACCTAGCCGTGAAGTACCAACTACCAACCTCATCAATTGATTCTTCTTCCTCCTCTGGGGATAATATTTCATCCTCTACCACAGGTAATTGCTCCACCGGCTCCCTAACCTTCGACCTATTGAAACCCTTCATGTGGCGACCATGATCTGACTCCTTTTCCTTTATTTTCCTCAACTTTCTCTGAATGATCGATGATACCAAATCTATACTTCCATAGGTGCTTTCAGCGTCCTCCTCAGCCCGCAACACTCCGTGCCTCTTAGTGAACAAAGTCACCTAATACAAACCAGAATCAAAGAATTAAACCCACTTGGTAAATGTGTACCAATCACATCCCATGTTACCAAAATTAGTACTTGAAAATGAAAATAGGCTCACCTCACACCTACGAGTTCTGGGTCCTCTTCCAAATTCACCTCCTCCTCTAGTAGAAAGCCTCACATCAACCTCTCTCACTAGGTGAGTATGCTTCTGAACGGCCTTTCCCACCTTATCTTCCACATGCTCCTTCACAGCATCAGTCAGCTAAAAACCAAGATAAATAACTTATTAGGTTAATTTCAAGAAAACTGAGTTTGGTGTTTCAAAAATTGTTGCTTTTTAAAGAAAAAGAAAATGGGGGGCAACAGTGTGGGGGTAAACCCAAAACCCAAGCATACCTCGAGATTTTTACCCTGAATGATCAATTTGACGGAAGAGAGAGGACCGTCCCATGACATGCGAGCAGAGAGTGAACGGCCAGTGTTGGTTGTGGAAGTGGCAGCATATTTGAGGCTTACAGTGTGGCCCAAGAAAGTTGTGGAGAGGGTGTTGGAGAAGGGGTGTGGAGGTAGCAGCAGATAAGGTGAGGAGAGTGATGAGGGAAGATAGCAAGAGGGGCGAAGGGTGGTGTGAAAACTAAAGAGAGTGGCCATTGAAAAGAGAGTGGATGAAGGGAAATGAAGATGGAGGATTTTTGGTGAAGGTCTGAGGAAGCTGAACGAAGGGGATGATAGTTTGGAGCAAGAGTGAGAGTGACAGCATTGGATATGGGTTTGTCTCTTTCCTCTTGTCGGATGAGGATGAATATTCAAGTGTCACACGTGGCCCATTTTATCTGTAACCAAACAAATCTAAAAAATTCAGACATTAAGCATTGATTTCATTTCGTGATGTTCAAGTGATATTACATCACTATAAATGTATATTAATATAATTATTTGTGCTAATTTCTATAAATTTTTCCTGTTAGATCGTTTTTTGAGACGGATCTATAGAATTACTCAAATGTTAACTTGATTTGGTTGTAATTTTTCATTTTTGTCTTCCTTGATCATGGAACGAGTCTTCTTGTTAAATCAACAAAAAAAGAAAATTACATAAATAATAAGCATAAAAATAATTATTTTAAAAAAAATCTTATTAAGATGTACAAATCTCATGTATTTTAGTCAATATTTTGTTTAGATGAATTAATATTCAGATTTTTATTTTGTATATTTACAATCTAGTATTTGTATTTGTGTAATGTAACACATTAGGATTAATTAGTAATTGTTAGCAACAAAAGAGTTTTGACGACGAAGTTAAATTTGGAATTGATGACTAATAAAATTATTATTAAATTAAAACTTTTATTTTTAGCTATTTGTAATTATACTATAGATTAGTTTTTGTATTTTAAATTTATTTTTATCAATACTACCATAAAGGTATTTTTCAGAAAACACACTAAAATATTCATTATTATTTGGGATAATTATTATTATAGTAGAGATCAGAAATATAATATTTTTTGAATTAATAGATTATTATTTGGGATAGTCGATTATTTTAGAAAAAATACTTTGAAAAAGGTTTACAAATAATAGATTATCATTTGGAATAATGAATTATTCATATGACAGTTGCAATAAGACTTTTGAGCTTCTAACCTATTTTCGAATTGAGCTTATATATAACTTATTTTTGAGCTCTTCTAAAGTTACGAAATCTTAAAATTTTCTTGATAATTAAGTATTTTGTCTAAACTCTCTATATTTTAAGTAAGCTTGAGAAACTTGGTAAAGGAAATGCTAGTCTTAGTATGTTGTAGCACATCTGGTGAGCAAAATTTAGCTTGTCCATCCTTGTGTTTGTTAAAAGGAGGTGTGGTAAATATCTTGTCAATCAAGAAATGACTATTTCCAAACCTCTATTATACTTCACTTTGTAAATTGTTGGTTTATTTTTAGTTATAAGTTAATCCCTATTTTAGTGAGATTACTAACTGGACAATCCAATATAAAAATTATTATGCAAGTTTTTCTCCCTTATACTCTTTTATTTACTTTCTTATATTTGTCTTGATTTTTCTGTAATGTGAATTTATTTTTTAAAAGAACAAGTATAAGAAAGTAAATAAAAGAACACATCAATTAGAATAAACTTTTCTACAGTTTTTAAAAGAACCTAAATCCACATCATTGAGCCACGTCAATTAAAAAGACAGTTCATCGTGCCACGTCAACCACAGATTAACGTCGTTGGGTCCAATTTAACGGCAGGGGCCCAATTGTTGCTATTTTTATAAAATAAGGACTCAATTAAGATACCGAAAAAGAACATGACCAATTTGAGATTCTCATCCAAAAATGGAACTTGTTAAATGATTAAACCTTTAAAAAAGGAAGTCCATTTAAAAAGAAGCTAGTTTTATTGAAAAACTAGTTTACCCCATTTTGCTTGTTGTCAAAATCCAAACATTATGCGGCGTATTTCCTATAGTAAATTGGTCTATATGTTTTAAACCTCTAATTCATTTTGATATTTATTTATTTATTTACTGAATTCAATCCTAATATTGTCAATGTGATCATTTTCATTTTCATTATATTATCGTTAACACTGTTTGAAGTATTAGATATCAAAATCTAAGTTATCTCCTATTTTGAATAGTGTCACATATCAAAATAAGAGTGTTCTAAGATAGAAGACGATCCTTATTTTAACATGTAACATATCTAGATTTTGACATGTAACACTCCTATATTGATTGTAGTTAACAAATGTAGGACTCATTTGACTGGAAAAAAAATATAGAACCAAAATGAATGAAAAGTTTAAAGGACCAAATTGTTTAATTATGCTTTAAAATTATAATATATTTATAAGACTTAATACCTATTTTAGTCCTTATTTTCGTAACTTTTGTTCAAAGTGGTCCTTGACTTTTTTCCACATTCAAAGTGGTATCCTTTTTTGTAGTTTTTGTTCAATTTAGTCATTTTCCTTTATGAGATGTAAATTGTTAACAACACAATGTCCACGTGAGCGTCAATGAATGATGTTGTTGTCATTTTGTCTAATGTGGTTGCCTATGATAGTGAAGCAATTAGGGTTTTTTGGTTTCCCATGGCAGTGAAGCAATTAGGATTTTCTAGTTTCCCATGGTAGTGAAGCAATTAGGGTTTTTTGGTTTCCCTTGATAGTGAAGTAATTAGGGTTTCCTGGTTTTCCATTGCAATGAAGTAATTAGAGTTTTCTGGTTTCCTATGGTAGTGAAACAGTTAAGGTTTTTTGTTTGGGATTTCGATTTTTAGGTTATTGTTGTTTCGTGCTAGTTTATGGTGGTTCTGCATTGCAGGTGCTATAAGAGATGCGATTTTGTGGTGGTCTTCTCTAGTGGAGCTAAGAAGTGTTAAACTCACGATTTGAGATTTTCTAGTTTGGAGAAGATGACAAATGGTGTTATGCAAGGTGAATGCAATTAGGTTTCATTGCAGTTTAGAAAGGGATATCTGTAGTGGTGCGAACTAGCATTGCAATTTGAGATTACAGGTTTGGGATGTGATTCATGATTTTGGGTGCTCGTGATTTTGTGGTATTGGTTTCTTTTTCAATTTGAGTCTTTTTGCTGAAGGTTGCGATTTCGAACATTGGTGGCTTGCGATGACTTTGTATTGTTATGTGGTGGTTGACGAAGACGGAAGGTGCAACGAATTACCAGCAATGGTGGAAGGAAACCATGGTGATCTGGTGGTGAGAGGTTAAAGATAATGAGGTGGAAAGAGACTTTGGACAATCACATAAAAAAAATGGGCCACATCATAACGATTTAAATGTCATAAAGAAAAAAAGACTAAATTGAACAAAAATTAGGATCACTTTCAACACAAAAAAAAGTTGAAAACCACTTTGAACAAAAGTTTCAAAAATAGAAACTAAAATAAATATTAAACCTCATAATAAATAATTTTTAATAAAAACTAATATTAAATGTGAATAATAAGTAAATAATAAGTAAATAAAAATATATAAATTTTAAATAATGCATATGTGTATTTGACATGAGTGTTCATACTTCTTCTTAAACTATAATTAAGTAAAGTAAAATAATGAAATAGATTCAAATAATTGGTGAAATTATATTTTGAATTTTATTTAACAAAAAACACTAAAATATTTTAAAATAAAATTTTAAAATATTCTTAATATTAATAGGATTTCTCAATTCTAACATTTAATTTTTGTTATTATGCTCACACTTATTTCACCACATCAAACTTTTCTTGTTCCAATATGAAACTTTTCTTATAGGAATATGCGTTTATTCCTTCTAGGGTACAAAATATAAAGTATTATATGTTTATTCTATTATTTATTAGCATTTAATAAATGACTTATAGGTAAGTTTTTTCATTTTATAAAAAATAATATATAAAACATGTAAATTAAATTTTTTGATGAAAACTTATAATTTGTTGTGTGTAAATTGAAAACCTCTAATTTGATACAAAGTATCATTTAATTATTCAAAATGACATGTTTAATATTAAAGACATTTATTTATATTTTTATTAATATTAGTGAATAACATTTACTTAACCAATATGAAAGATAATTGATTGCTCCTATAAATCACATTATCATAAACACAATAGTATATATACTTATGACTCCATAAATATTAAATATATACAATTTAATTAGTACAAATAAACATAATAATATATAGTTATAATTCAATAAATGGTATAATTAATCCAACATAGTATTCTTGGATATCATTAATCCAACATAACATTATTTGATACCAAGATCTTTAGCTGTAGTAAAACTGGTGATAGTGCATGGATGGTCATAATATCTCCCAGTTCATTGACAATTGAATATCGCAATAACTCCAAAAAACTTCATAAAACTATTAAAGAAACATTTTCAATCCAAATTCATTTAATATTTTAATTGTTTTATTATTTTTCTAACATATTGGAAATAGAGTGTTGTTTTGTTTTCTGAAATTTTCTTACGACAACATATTAACTATACTCAATAATATTTAAATTAATTTTGAGTCATAATTTTTTTAAATAATATTTATTCTTACAAATAATTGAATTAAAATTGATTAAACCCTAAAAGGTAAAACCTAATAGATATGACATAATATCTTACTATTTTAAAAAGAGATAGTTTGTGGTGATTCTTATTTAGAGTTCATGACAATTTTTTTTTCTTTTCAAATTATAGATGAGAAGTAAACATGGATATTATAAGCCAACTTAGATCTCACATAGATATGATTTTTTATGTTTAGAAATATAATATAGTTTTTTTTATCATAGTACAACTCATATCACAATTTTTTATAAGTATTTTTACGAAAAAAGAAAAAATTATACTTAATTTTTTCATATACTATATTTATATAATTGCTATTTTTTTACTTGCACATAAACTATATTTATATAATCTTAGAAGTAATTGCTTTACCATGTTATCTAATTATAAATATGACAAGGTTGTTAATTTTACAATAAATTTTAAATCATGTCTGAAGTGATTTTTAATCAATTCACAATCCAAAATTAAACTATTTATTTACTTTTGAATATTACATAGTTAATTTTTTTAAGATATCAAAGTATTTTAAAAAGATAAAAGAAAAAATAAAATAAATAAAACATAAAAGATAAATATTATTTATATAATTTAACTTTACTAAATTTAACACTTAAATGTTATTATTTAATATGAAAATTTTAAAATATCAAACTTCTATTTTCATTT